AATGATTATGTTGATGGTGATGATGATAAAAGTTACTTAGCTAATGGTAAATGGGAAAAACGTTTTCATCCTTGGTCAATGTAGTAGCATTTTAATTAGATTTTTTTCTGATGTTGAGGTTTTTAATTCAGTGTGAGTTTGAATTGAGAGAGAGAGAGAGAGAGAGAGAGAGAAAGAAACTATCATCATATGAAGGTTAATCTTGATGACAAGCGGAAGTAATCATTATCATGGTGTAAAAACATTCAATGAAATTAAGTTGATTGTAAAGTGGGATGATGATGATGAAAGAGAGAGGCAAAAAAAGTGGAAATTAGATTCAAAGTTGAATGCGTGTTGTTAAGATGAAGAGCAAAAAACCAGCACCAATCATCAAGAGCTGATGAAAATGATGATGACATTTGCAATAGTTTTTTACCGGAGGACTAAAGTAAGATGATGATGATGATGATGATTCTGCAATTTTGTTGACATTCTCAGTGTTGTCATGTTGGTTGCAAATGAACACATGATGTTTACAGATGGAGACGAGATTCCCTTGAGCAATGTTACTACCAAATGAAATCAACTGAGAGAGAGACTTGAAGATGGAGTAATATAAAAAAGACAAATCATCTTGAAAGAGGGAGACAGTCAACATTAAATGATGATAATAGTCCTGATGAGGATGCAACTAATTTGATGATTGCTATTCAATACTTCCCTCTCCTCCTCTCTGCCTCTCTCGCTCTCTCAGTCACTCTCTCATCTTGGGACCAGAAGCTATTAAACAACAGCAATCACATCAATTTATTTACACTCACACACAAAAACAAAATCCAATCCAAATGTCAATCAGGAAAACCTTTTTTTTTACAAATGCCTTGCAAACAAAACGATTAACCAGTTGCAAATGTTTGCATCCTCATCATCATCATCATCATCATCATCATCATCCCAATCAAGTGAAACAACAAAAACGACAGCAAATGTTGAGGTCAGTTATTAGTCCGTTAAGTTAATAATGTAAACCCTATGATTTGACCTGCACAAATAATACAATTTGCATAATTGTTTGGACTCTTTTTTTTCTGATCTGTCATCATCATCATCATCATCATTATCATCATCATCGCCACCATAACTATTATCATGCATTTTTTTGCAAGCTAATAGTTTGTTGGGCTTCCCGTTTGCAGTTTTTTTCTTCATTTTCTGTTCTGTAGATAAACCAATATGGCGGAAGGTAAAAGCCTCTTTTACAGCGAAATCCAATTATAAGCTTGAATAGACTTTGTTTACATGATGATGATGATGATGGAGATAAAATTGCTTCTTAAATATCCCATAAATGGCTGCTAATGTAATACAAATACCTTTTTATCATAAGGGTTATTCATGTATATTCAGGTAGGAATTTATTTATAAGAAAACTTTAAAATATAATATACCTCAACTTACGAGTACGGGTTTTAGCCTGAGGGGTTTTTTCACTTTTTCTTCTTCTGTTAATAATTTTCTTCATTCTCTGTGTAATAGAAAGTAAATAGAGAGAGAGAGAGAGAGAGAGACTATTTCTCATTCTCTCATTCAGTGGAAATGATAAAAAAATAACCTTGGGCATTAGATGATAATAGAAAAAAAAATGAGACAAATTATTTTCTTTTCCAGCATTTGATTGCATTTTCGTTGTGTAGTTGGCAAAAATAATACACAATGACCAACAATGATAACGTGTTATTATGTATTGGTCAGTATTAAGAAAAAGGCAAGAAAAAAATGGAAATAGTTTGTAAAAAGCTACTGAAAGCCTATGGAGATTGAGGATTTTACTTTTACCTAAATCATGACCTCAAAATGACCTCAAAAAGATCAGAGAGAGAGAGAGAGAGAGAGAGAGAGAGACGAAAGAAGACAAAAGTTGGAGGGAAAAAGATACATAGACAGAGAAGAAGAGAAAGAGAGAAGATTAAGAGTCTATGGTCACTTTCTTTCTTTTGGTAATGGTTATTTTCTCTCTTTCTATTTCTGTCTAAAAACGGGAAAGGTGAAAAAGGCCATTACTTGCTGACCGACCAAAGGAGATTATCGTTTAGCCTTAAAATAATATTTTATTGACCAGTCGGCACAGTCTGTGGTCGTTACAGTCAATGACGACCTTTTCTTAGTCCAAAAAAAAGGTATTTTAAGTATTAAAAGAAAAGCGAACAAACTTTTCGACCTTTCCTTTAAAACTTCATCAGTGTATCATCTTCATCTTCATCCTTCATCAACAGAATCATCATCATCATCATCATTATCAACGTCGCCTTCACTTTTTTTTCAGCTTCATCTCCAAACAAGAAAAGTAAAATGACCGACAAGATGAAGATGAAGTAGGAAAGTAACAATTAATAGACTGTCATTTAACTTATTCTTTTGAAAAAGAGAAATGATGATGAGGATGATGAAAGAGACAACTTGAAGATTGACTATTCGAGGAAAAAGAATTACAAATAATCTTATTTTTTTTCTTCTCAAAGAAAGAAAAAAAGTAACAAAAAGATAACATGTAGTGGGTTAATCTCATCAGTCAGTGGAAGACTGATGATGATGATGATGAGAATGATGATCTAGAAGATGAGCAATAATTATATACCCAAAGAATTTGCTACTGTTAATAACCTGGAGAAAAGTAGTAATATTTATCCATATGAGACCAAAGAAAAGGGAATTTGTTGATTATGGTTTGAAAATCTAAACCAAAGTCCAAAGAAAATGACCAGTTAATGGTCAGTAAATGACAGAAAACTATTTCAAACAAGAAGAAATGTAATCATCAGAGTGACCATCATCATCATCATCATCATCAAAATAATGATGATGAAATTTTTTCATCTTCTCCCTAGAAACAGAAATATCTTTTTCTCCAACTCAATTTAATCATATTGCAAATAACTCATCTTCAAGTGAGAGAGAAAATTTCATTAAAGGTGATGATGATGATGATGATGATGATAGAAAATTACATTCCAAAAGGTGAAAAGCATATACAAAGATGACACAGGAAGGAGTGAGAGAGAAAGACACACATACAGTAATAGCTATTATCATCTTCATTTTATAGTAAATTACATTCACAAACTATTATCATTATCATCATGATAATCATTGAAACTATCAACATAATCATCATCAACAGTTAATTCCCATGTAATTTATAGCAGCAATAACATTATAACCATTGAAATGACACATCAACCTCCACACACACACACACACACACACACAACTATTCAACAAGTAAGATTAAGCTTCTCACTGTTTGCAGAAATCATTATCATTATCATCATCATCATCATCATCATCTATGTGACTACCTGTTACACAATTAAGCTTGTCTGTTCAACAGTTGATAAAAAAATGGATATAAAAATAAGTGAACCGAGAAGAAGATGATGAAAAAAAAAGGAGATTTGAAAAGCATTATAATGTGAAAGAGCATCTTAAAGATGAAGATGATGGAGGAAAAAAAGAAAGTGAAAGTTATCCTGATGAAGAAAAGTAAGAAAAAATATTGGGAGTGGTTATTTGATATGAATCTGTCATAAGAAGTAATGAAAACCGTGAAAGGCTAGTTGACCATCTAATTATTATGATTATTAAGGTTTAATCGAAACATTTAAGATGATGAGGATGATGAGGAGAAGGAGGGAATTGAGTTGATGATGGTGGATGAAGATGGAGAGTGGGGAGGAAATGGATCAAGTCAATGAGTATCTATTTCATAGTATTCATGGTGAATCCATCAAAAAGTTTCATTTTTTTCATCCTGTAACTTGAATCTCTCCATTCATGTCTATGTCTCTATCTTTGTAATCATCATGTTGTACTAATGAGTTTGTCTAAATTCTGGTTCCACCAAACAATCAAATCTTATTGTGTTAATTGTAAACATGTTGACATTTTTTTTTTGTCTCTATCATGTTGTTGTTGTTTTTAGTTTTATTTTTCTTCTTGAGGTCTTGTTATTGTTTTAACTACTACTGTGAATGGATGAAAGATGATGAAGATAAAATGATGTGTGTAATAAACACACATTGAAATGGTTAAAATGATGATGATGATGATGATAAAGATGCTAATGTTTACTAGTCCTGTCAAAGATGATGAGGATGATGATGGACACAAGATTTACTAGATTCGTCTATGGGAAAATGAAGTAAGAAAACACTTCTAAGAAAGATACAGTAGTTGCAATGGAGTAATAATTGTTGGTGTTGTTGTAGGAGGAGGAGAGCGAAGAGAGATGAAGATGAAGATGATGATGATGATGATGAAGAAAGTTGTTCAACAAAGAGAGAGAAAGAGAGAGAGAGAGAGGATACAGTTTTTTCTCACAGTTTTTTCTTCATCATCTTTTTTTTCATCTTCTTCTTGCCTTGGAGATTATAATTTGTTGTCTCTATCCTTTGCTACAAGAAAAGATGAAGATAAAGTTTTGGAAAATATTGATGATGAAGATGAAAGATGAAGATTGTTTTTGATTTTTTTTTCTTTTTCTCTTTTTTTTCTCTCCTTCCACTGGGTCAATATAATAGTCAAGACTCAGAAATTACTTTCATGTGGATTAAGAAGAGGCGAGAGAAAAAAAGTTTAGAAGGAGGGATTAAGAGGATGATAATCAACATGGATTGAAAAGTTGCAAATCCATGATTAGTTGTATGTTTTGTATGAGAAAAAAATAGATCATCAATCAAGTTAATTAACCGAGAGATTAATAAATTACTATTGTTTTTAGTTGCCTGTTAATCAGCAGGGTTTTTTTTTCAAAGTAATCAAGGAAAAACATTGTGAACACCAAGAATAAAAGTATTATTTGTATTTAGATAAATACAAAAAGGGATAATTGGAATTACTTTTTTTTTAAATTGGTAAACAATCAACAATCAACAAGATTATTATTGTTAAAAACAATAACACCAATTGAATGAAATGAATGATTAATCTATTTGCTAATCATGATCAATTTAGATTCTTACCTTTCCTCCATGACCCTGAAGCTTATTGGTGACATACAATCAACTTTCATATCATGACTTCCGTGATCATTACAAGTCTGAATTGAGAATCGACCGAAATTTGCTCGAATTAGATTAATATGAGTATCCTTTTCACAGACAATTTCGAGAATACTGTTCTCACAGGCAGTTGCTGTTCGATATTGAGGTCCACCTCCACGCCCTGAACGAGAGAGAGAGAGAAACAAATCGAAAGTGAGAAAAATTCGAAAATTCGAAAAAAAAAAAAAAGTGAACTTCATTTTCTATCAGATAAAAATTGAACAAATGATTCCATTGATTGAGTGAATATGAACCTTGAGGGTAAATTACAATTACTCTTAATGATAGATTGAGATATGGAGAAATTTGAACAATTTTTTATTGGAATTGTTGTTGATTATTTACCTGAAATTAATCGTTTTGATTGGACTAGAGATGATGATGATAATGGTAAGATGATTGTTGGTATCAAAATGAAACATATGATCACTTTTAACAAAATATTTACAATCCAATTAACGTAATTTAATGGCAATGAACAATTAATGGTTTACTTATTATCATTGATTTACTTGCACAATTAACACCTCTCATCATGAAACGATCATCATTACATGATAACGATGATGATGATTTTGATGATGATTGAAACACTTTTGAATTACCTATTAATCCACAAGGAAATTGGTTACAATCAATTAGAATCATTATTCTTAAATCACTCAACTCTAATTCATTTGGAATATAAAAAGAAAACTATTATCAAGTTTATTCTGAAAATTAAAATGAAGAAACAATTAAGTTGGTTTGAGTTATAGTTGAAAGTTATTTAATATTGGACACAATTAGTAAATTCATTGTAAGGTTGTTATGATTAAAGTTAATCACAATTAGTTGGAAAGAAAATTATTCAACTGATGTTTTCTTAACAGCAATTACTTTACAACTGAACAAGAAAACAGCTCAACAAAATCAAGGAACAATTTTCCTCTAGATGGCGTTAGTTTTGTTGACGAATTTTTTTCGAACTCAAGTAGCGACATCTCTTGAGTTTTAGGCGAACATTTTGATTTTGATTAGTTTTAATTGATCTGTTTGCTTTTTTTTATTTTTATTACAATTTAAGTTAAAATGGTTAAGGTTAATTAGTTAATTGTTAGAAAGTTGAGAAATTTTAAAAATTTAGAAATGATCAAAGTGATAAAATTAGATTTCTTCATTAGTTTCAATTGATTAGTTGATTGACTTAATCATTAGACTGAGACTAAAATGATTAGATTTTAATTGTAATTAAGTTTTTGTTGTCGTTTTCTAATAAAAATTTAACTATTTGAAACGATAGTTTCGGATTCACCTTAAGAATTGAATAATATTAACTTATATACTCACAATTATAAATATAACAAGAACTTTAATGTTGTCTAAGGAAAGAGGGAATGGGGACTAACTAGAAGGATACAATGTATTACAATAGAACGAAGGTGATCATGATACACTGATCATGATCACCTTCAGAAGTTTCTAGAACATTCTAATAATCGATATTTCAATACGATATCGTGACAATTAACGATGACCATGAATATCATGGTCATCATCATGGTAACGTCCCAGACGTAACAATTACTAATCAATAATTTTGTTACATTACCCCCGTCCTCTAGACGAAAGGTCTCTCTTTCGTTACGATATCGATTAATTTATAAGCACAATTTTTGCATTTAATAAGCACATCGAATGCGACAAAAACACCAATTCAATATTATTCATACTTTATATTAACCTTTACATATTCGGAGTTACAATAAACTTGTTTATGTTCAGAAATTATAAACTGAAGAACATCTTCAGGTACATAAAATTTAATTACATTAAATAAAGCAGCAAATTCTAATAAACATGCACGAGCTTTTTCCAAAATTTTCGCTTGTTGATCAAATTTACCGTTGATTTCGTCTTCAATTCCCGAACAACGAAAATAAGCATATTTCATGAGTAGCTGGTTACCTTTGATTTTACCTTCAATCGCTTCCATGACTGATTTTGGAGCAGGTCGTTTCAATGTTTTCTTCAGCGTTAATATTTGATCGATGGCAATCCCTACCACCTTGACGAAGTTATCATTTTTATCCTTCAACACCTCTGAAGTCATCTTTAGATTACTGTTAAAAGCAAAAAACAGCTAATACAATTAGATTAATAACAATAAATGACATATAATATGGTAACATTAACATTAAGAATGTTAATTTACAAATAATTCATTCAAATAACAAATTCTCTCAACATTTTCTTAAACATTAATCCAAGTTAGAATGAGAAATTGCAATAAGATCTCCATTAACTTGATTATCACATAATTAATTATATTAAAACTAGAACAAGGTATGTAAAATTCCCATGGATCCATCGGCCACGTAATTTAAAAGAACCATCTCCCTTGCTACCAATAGCGCAATGAGTTGGATAAGGAGGAGGCGACTGTTGACACAACAACCAGTCCACAAGGTACCATCTCCTACGTTTTAACCAAATTTCTAGTGATCAATAAAACTAATTAATTGAGTTGAGAAGCTAATCTATCAATATTAGCTTCCATTTGATTGATCTCCATCACCAGACCAACGATGGAGTTACTTGAGCTTTGATAAACATTATCACTAGCTCGTCGAAGAGTAGCCTCAGCTCGCTGGGCTCTTTGTAAAAGATCATGTACTGAATTAATTTCGAATTGGGCAAAATACTGAGAAATTTCAGGCTTGATTCCTCTGACGATCAACCTTATAACTTTTCTCTCATCCATCTGAACATTAATTCGTTTACAAAGTTTAATTTGGTCCAATATAAATGATAAAATCGATTGATTTTCCTTTTGTTTCCCTTGGTACAATTTACTTTCCATCAATTGTACGTAATTTGGATTAACCATATCTCTGAGTAGCATTTCTTTCATTACATTATAATCAATAATTTTATTTTTTACATAAGAAATGTACCAAAGTTTAATAGTTCCGGTGATAAATAACGGAATCTCTTCAATCGAAGGTCATCATCCCATCCAACAGCAGTAGTTTCGAATTCGAAATTTTCAGGCCAATCGAAAATGTCTTGATTATTATCACCACTCAGTCGATAAATATTCAGATTTGGCTCAGAGGAAAGGTTATTGTGAAGAATAGACATCTCGCATTCGATTGTCCAACTATTAAATTTTCTATCTCAAACAACAACCTTTATATTAAATAACCTTAACAAATTCTATTGATAAATATATATCACCCCAACTTGCTTTTGAAGCTGTTTAAGGTATCATATTTATATCATCAGTTATAACCTTAAATAATTCTAGAAATTGTGACAAATTTCAACACCTCGACTTGCTCTAGAAGCTGTCTTGAGGTATATCCTTATGTCACAATAAAGATGAAAATCTCCTTGAAACTTACCAGTTTCACTTTTATTATTTATTGTACCAACTTTATTGTATTGATTTAAGCAAAGAATAAAATTCGAATCCTCGAATCTTCGAAATTGCGGCACACAAATCACACGAACATCCTGCCTAGGTCGCCAATTGAAACGATAGTTTCGGATTCACCTTAAGAATTGAATAATATTAACTTATATACTCACAATTATAAATATAACAAGAACTTTAATGTTGTCTAAGGAAAGAGGGAATGGGGACTAACTAGAAGGATACAATGTATTACAATAGAACGAAGGTGATCATGATACACTGATCATGATCACCTTCAGAAGTTTCTAGAACATTCTAATAATCGATATTTCAATACGATATCGTGACAATTAACGATGACCATGAATATCATGGTCATCATCATGGTAACGTCCCAGACGTAACAATTACTAATCAATAATTTTGTTACATATTTGAGGTGAAAGACTTACTCAGGATAAATTTAATTGTTACAATTAAAGAATTGGTTACAAATGTTATCAATTTACAAGATCAAGTTCACCTAAATGATTAATACAATTACAGTTAATTTTGTTATCTAATTGTTACTTTTAATTGTTTTAATGATACAGGAAAATGATTATAATTAACAGGATAATTTATCTATTTAATTAAGTGGACAATTAAAGTTTTCTTCTGATCTTTTCAATCAATAAAGTTGATTTTAAACTTTAACAAGTTGTTTAACTTTTTCATTGACCTTAAAATTGTTGATTATTAACCAAAAAATGAATTAAATTGCTCTTTAATTGCTAACTAATTACATTGATCACAATCAGATTTAATCACATATACGACTATTGTTTAATCAATCTGATCAATTACTTTAAAGTTAATTTTTAACTTTTCTCAGTCTATTAAATTAACTTTAAATGGTTGACCAGTGATTATTGATTGAAACGATCAGAAACTTTTAATTGTCCACTTTAATTAAAAGAAAATCAAATAGATAATTTAACCTTTTAATTAATATAATCATTTCCGTGTATCATTAAAACAATTCAAAGTTAATTGTAATTGTATTAATCATTTAGGTGAACTTGATCTTGTAAATTGATAACATTTGTAACCAATTCTTTAATTGTAACAATTAAATTTATCCTGAGTAAGTCTTTCACCTCAAATAGTTAAATTTTTATTAGAAAACGACAACAAAAACTTAATTACAATTAAAATCTAATCATTTTAGTCTCAGTCTAATGATTAAGTCAATCAACTAATCAATTGAAACTAATGAAGAAATCTAATTTTATCACTTTGATCATTTCTAAATTTTTAAAATTTCTCAACTTTCTAACAATTAACTAATTAACCTTAACCATGTTAACTTAAATTGTAATAAAAATAAAAAAAAAGCAAACAGATCAATTAAAACTAATCTAAATCAAAATGTTCGACTAAAACTCAAGAGATGTCGCTACTTGAGTTCGAAAAAATTTGTCAACAAAACTAACGCCATCTAGAGGAAAATTAGTCTACCAAAGGGAAAGATTTTTTTTTTCATGTTTCTTGATTTTCTTGAGCTTTTTTTGTTTAGATGTAAAGTAATTGTTGGTAAGAAAACATCGATCTCGAATAATTTTCTTTCCAATTAAAAGTGATTAAATTCAATCACAATAACCTTACAATGACTTTATCAATCATCTCCAATATTAAATAACTCTCAAAGTTAAATTGTCTTAATTGTTTCTTCATTTTAATTCTCTGAATAAACTTGATAATAGTTTTCTTTTTATATTCCAAATGAATTGAAGTTGAGTGATTTAAGAATAATGATTCTAATTGATTGTAACCAATTTCCTTGTGGATTAATAGGTAATTCAAAAGTGTTTCAATCATCATCAAAATCATCATCAAAATCATCATCATCATCATCATCGTTATCATGTAATGATGATCGTACCATGATGAGAGGTGTTAATTGTGCAAGTAAATCAATGATAATAAGTAAACCAGTTAATTGTTCATTGCCATTAAATTACGTTAATTGGATTGTAAATATTTTGTTAAAAGTGATCATATGTTTCATTTTGATACCAACAATCATCTTACCATTATCATCATCATCTCTAGTCCAATCAAAACGATTAATTTCAGGTAAATAATCAACAACAATTAAAATTTTCTAGAAAATCCTATTCGATTTTCAATCCAATTGATTAACCGGAACTCTCTCAACTAATAATTAACAAATTGCGAGACTCACATAATCAACCAATCAATTCTTGAATATATTTACTATCAATATCTAATTCTAATCAACTAAGAAAAGATTAATTGAAAATTGACTAACTGATTGATGAGCTGTAATTAAAAAGTAACACAACATAATTAATTATCTTGAATTTGATATTAATCATTAGCAAAATCAATGAATTGATTGTTTTAAACCAGATAGTTTTCTCATTATTATTATCAACTGATAATCATCATTAACTATTCCAATATCATTAACAATTTAGACAGATAACGTGATTAAATTGTTTCCCTTAATCCATTTCTCTTTTGATTGTTGATTAACAATCAAAAGAACCACAACCGGAATTAAAGTATCCCAACCAATCAATCAGTGGAAATGACTACAGAGTCAATGATTGAGATAACAATTTGTTGACATTAAAATTGACCATTAAACTGACCATCACTGTAATAGAAATAGTTGTTAGTCTGGCCAATGAAAAAAGTTTCTTCATGAAATCTTATCCATGATAAGATTATTATAAGAATCAATAAGTTACCTTTAGCCGAAAGAATCACGATTAAGATTCATTAAATTAGGAATTGCTGATTAATCACTGATAATAATCAATGTTAATATAATGATGACGATGAGAAGGGCTGACATGATGAAATTTTTTTCTCTTCTCTCTCTCTCTCACTCACTTGCTCACTCATTCAGTTCTCTTTCGAAGGATAAAAAAAAGAAAAGTTATTGATACAACAATTTCCTCCTCCATCTCCATCTCCCGCTTCATCTTCATTTTCCGCTTCCTATTTTCTCACTCACTTTTCTCTCTCTCTCTCTCTCTCTCTCTCTCTCCCTTTAGCTCTCATTATGACTTTTTGCTCTCTCATTTGTTCTAATTTTTGTTCTCTCCCTTCTCTTTCCTACCTTAATTTGCCAAAGCTTAGCGACTTAATTGCGATTAACTTGATTTACAGTTTGCTTACCTTGCCATTTATTTGCCCTTCACCCGCTCACTCACCTCCCACCTCAACTCCTGAACCTCTCATGATGATAATCACAACCTTAGATACTACAATTGACATGATAGATTCAAGAATAATGTATCACACACAATATTAACTTTACTCATCCTCTCTCTCTCTCATATGCAATTTCCCCTTTTCCACCTCTGATGTTTTCCATAGGAATAAATTGTTATCAAGCTAATTGTAGACTAATTAGCAAACAATTAAAAGGTTCATAGCCACTATTGGTTTCATTTTCTGATTAACCAGCAAAATGCTATTTACATGGCTGAACTTTACTGAATATTATCCAAATTACTATTATCTGATTTTCGAGTTGCAATTTTTTCTATTGTCTCTCTTTTCATGATATCAATCAAAATTCATCTCATATTTTCAACTCTCTCTCTCTCTCTCTCTCTCTCTCTCTCTCTCATGCTCTTGGTTCTGCTTATTATCAATAAAATTGAATTTCTCTCCCTGATTCTGAATTTGATTTGTTCTTCATTTCAAATATACACGAGAATCGAAAATGAATATTGTCATGAAAATGAAGAAGAAAAAAACTTTCATCAGAATAATATTAATTTCTTATGAAGAATAATTTGCATCAACTGTACATACATGAGTTTTATCATCCATATTTACAGGGAAGAAAAATATAATCAACAACAATTTATTTTCATTAGAGAATAAGAAATGGAAAATGTTATTTTTTCTTCTTTAATTTATATTTAATTCTAACTTCAAGTTAAGTTATATCTCTAAGAGATGAATGAATAGAGAGATTTATTGAGAAAATTTTCATCTTTTCCCAAGTAATTTAATAATTTTATCCATTGGATGAGTAACTGTATTTACTATGAATGATAAGATATCATTAATTTGTTGGCACTTTATACGTAAAGGTCAGTTGAAGTGGTCAAATGGGAGGGATAAGGTGGAGTAGATTAGATTGTAAGTGGTCAAAATAACATGGAAGATGAGTGAGTGAGAGAGAGAGAGAGAGAGAAAAGGAAGAAAATGTTTAGGTAATTTTTTCTTCTCCATCCCCTAATCTCCTCCTCTTCATCATCTTCCTAACCTCATGGGAGATAATGAAATGAGCATTTAATTATAGTTGAGAGAGTAAGTGAACCATCAAGGTGAATTTAAGTGGCTAAAGGTTGAGGTGTGTAGTTGGGATGAGGGATTGATACCTAAATAGTAAAGTGAAACAAAAGGATAAACATAATCGTGCCAAGTAGGTGGATCTCTGACCAATGGTCATTTTCACTGGACTGATGATCACCAATCAATAAACTTTTGTATCAGGAAAAAAGTTCATTAGTTATCATAATGGTTATTGTTGTGATTATCAATTTACAGGGAGAAACTTTCCCAACTCATCAACCTTTAATCCTTTAATCATTATGAAAGTTTCCATTAATGAGTAGTCACTTAATTATTAGATTAGATGATTAACTTTAAGGTACAATTTTGTTAATCTACTGGTAGGATTTACTATTAATATTTGATTTCAATTGTCGCTATCAAATGAGTCTAAAGAGTTTTGTGCAAAAGTTTATCATGAGAAAATATCATGAATGAAATTATTCAGAATTTATCATGAAAAGAAAAGTGAAAACTTTTTGTTTCCTCATGAAAATGAAGTTTTTCCAAGAAAAGGAAAAAATGAAAGTTAAAAGAAAAAGAAAACAAGATTAAACAAGAATTTTCTTCTTCCATTGAGAGAATCATGTTCAGGAAAACATGATAACATTTACACACAGGGAGTGAAAATAAGAGAGAGAGAGAGAGAGAGAGAGAGATTGAGAGATTGAGAGAGAAAGTTCAACAATGAATGAAGATGAAGATGAGGGAGAAAGGTTATTTCCACTTCGAGTGAAAAGGATGAACATTCAGAAAAAGAGTTCCATTAATCTCTATTAATCGTTCAGGTTATTTGGACTTTGATACAATCAAGTCAACCTTAAATATTTAATATTATTTAGACATCGAATGAGAGAGAGAGAGGGGTGGGAAGAAAAATTCCAAATTCGAAATTCAAACTTTCATGATAAGAGAGTGATGAAGAGTATCGGATGTGAGAAAAACAAAAAATTTCTTCTCTTGAAATTCCTTAAAGTTAATTCACAATGAATTAAGGTTACCCCTGGATATCATGTTCTTGCTGATGGAAAGTAAAAGGAGTGAGATTAAAAAAAAAGTTCATGATAATAATGAACAATAGAAAAGAAGAAGAGAAAAAAAATGTTACCATGAAAAGATAACATTTGAAATCTCATGAATCTAAAGTTTGTCAACTTTGTTATTTTTTTTCTCATGAATTGAACTTTTGTTGATTCAGATAATCAGATAATCAATGAATACATGAAATGTTTTCATTGGTGAGATTTCCATGAATCTGATCGTTATCATCATCACCATGGTTTACATGGTGAATTGATTCATTTATCTCTGTTTATTTATTACATTAATAAAGGTGAGAGTGAGAGGTTATCATGGTAGAAGGTGGAAATCATGGATTGGCAGGGAGAAAAAAGTTCTGAAGAAAAAATAATGTTACTAATAAGTGAAGATACTCACATTTTCATGGTTTTCTGTTTATTCATTTTCTTGGAACTTTTTTTTTCTCTTCTCATCCCGATAAATCCCTTCTATTATCTGACAAGCTGTTACATGAATTGATTCCCATGAAAACCACAGAATGTCCAGAATTGAGCCTTTTTATAGCTTAGATGTGATTATCATTATCGTTTTTATTATCAGACTTGTGTCTTTCTCATCATCATCTCCATGATAATCATTGAGAATTCATCTTTATCTACTTATTTTTTGTTCCTCTCTCACTTTGTTTTCTGCTTTGTTGCTGAAAGTTTGGTGTGAACAGGCTGAGATTACATGAGAGCTGTTTCCTAGCCGGAAATGATAGTAAACATAAAGTAAATCTCTTCCGGAACTTAAAGAGATCAATGTTGCAAGAAGAATGAATTTCTCGTTCATTTTTCCCATGTAACAATTTCCATTTGGAATCAATCAACAAACTCAGCTATTAGTTCATTGCAGATAATTTATCCATGTTCATATTAGAACCATGATAATCTTGTGGATAAATGAACAATTAGCATATATGGAAAAGTCAACAAGCAAATTTCAATCTTGAACGAAATGTAATTGGAAAATTTTTTCAAATCTCAACTGAAAATCTATCACCATGATAATAGTTCAATCGACGATGAAATATCATGGATGTAATTAGAATGAAGAAGAAGAAGAGAAAAAAATATCTCATCTTCATCTAGTGAATATAATTAATTCAATGAATGGGATGAAGATGAAGATGATGAGAGAGAGAGAAAAACTAATTATAGATTTTCCCATGTAATTTTTTATTCTTTTTTTTCTAATGAGTAATCATTTCTTTCTTCATGATATTCAGGTACTCATGGAATCAAGAATCCACCAAAGTTTATAGGATCAGTTGAAAATGTAACAATTCCTATCGGTAAAGAGGCAACATTGAAATGTAATGTTGATCATCTTGGAAATCATAAGGTGAGTTGAAATGAAAAAGATTCAAATAATTCTGATATAATTACCATGAGAATGAAACTGAACAAAAATCAAAACGATAATTTGATTCAAAAAAAATAACAGCCATTAAAATGATTAGCAATATTCAGGTAATGTAATTAAATGGTTCCTTAAATCATTATCAACCCTTACAAATGCTGTAAATTGCCAACAATTTATGAATCATTGTCATTAAATTGCTGATTATTGATTAGATTTGATGAGTTTTCTTCATGTTGTCTGTATGATAAATTTACTTTTGAATTGTTTCAAGATTTTCAAGAATCTGATTAGGATAAAACCTTGAGGAAAATTGAAAATCCTCATTAATAGTGTTGGACCAATTTTGATTAAACAATTGAATCCATTCAATTTATTGATTGGATTGATATGTCTGAATTTGAAAGCTTCTGCATGGATCATAATATAATGTTCATGATGAAATAATCAGGAAATCATGAAGGGAATGGATTAAGGTAAGTAGGATGAAGAGAGTGTCCAGATAAAGTGATGAAGGATAAAGTGTTTTTTATATCTACACTCAATCTGATATCTTTTTATGCTTATCCAGTGACCATAATATCAGTTTACAGGGAAGACAAAGTTGTAAGGTAAACATTGACATTGGACAATTAGGAATTGACCAGAAACATTAGAATAATATGAAAGCGGAAAAAGAGGATGAGAATTGAGGGAATGGTCAATGAGTTGAGAATCCATTGAGAGAAACAGGAAGAGGAAGAAGAGGAATAAAATGAGAGAGAAAATCTCTTTCTATCAGGAAAAGTAAGATAACTCAAGTGAAATCTAGTAAATAACATTGAGGATATTTAACAGTTACAATTGACAATGAATGATGACTTAAAATGTATCATGATGATGATATTATCTTCATGAAGATATATGAAACTGACCAGTAACATGATTGATGAACCATTGAAATGATTAAGAAACGAGAAAACGATTAGATTACAATTATCATGTAGCTTTTGTTGTTATCTAATCTGTGAATCCCACCACAGGTAACAGGAAGATGATGATGATGATGAAAAGAGAGAAAAGAAAAAAACATAGATTTTGACCCACAATTGACCTCGATTTTTTTGTTCTAACGTATGGACAGTAAATTTGAGACAAAATTGAAATCTTTATATCTCCCAAACCAATTTAATTTAATGAATTATTTTTTCAACACTAGATAGCCTAATTACTATGAATTGATTAAAAATGGAAAAAGAAAGACAAATACAATTAGGGTCAAAAATTTTCAAAATAAATCAAAGCGTAGTAATTAAATTGTGTGCAAAAGTGCTCGAGAAATCTTCTAATAGTCGAATAAAAATTCAATTTGTGAACATATTTAATTGTTTTGATTTCTCTTGATTGTTCAGGTGATAATTTATGATGATTTAGTTAATAATTCAGCATAAATTTACAATGTCTAATAGGGATTAAGTCACAAAAAGTAATTATGTTTTTTGATTAACAATAATAGCCAGAGATCCTTAGCAATTCTAGATGGCGCATCGATCGAAAACATAAAAAAAGTTCGATAATCAATCATAGCTCAGGTCAATAGAACTTTTTAAAGTATAACTTGATTGCAAAATGTTCTCTCATAGTCAAGGTACACATTAGAAATACTAGCTGATCAAAACAATCAAGGAAAAGCTTAAATCACGCAATTAAAATTACTTCGATGGTTTGTTAGGTAACTTGAAATACTAACTCATCTGTTGAGTTTAGAGAATTTTAAAAAATTTAATTCATCAGATTAGCTAATTATCTCATTTCTGTGAAAAAATGACAAGCTTGCGACAAATAATAATAAAAATATAATCATTTTAATTTTGTCTCAAATTTACTATCCATACGTTATTCTAACTTTTCTATCTTATCCTTCATTCACTGGCCATTAAACTTTACCTTTCATCTTAATCACCATGTTAACATGATGATAATATACAAATACGATTGTTTTTATTATATAATTGAACCTCTGAAAACATGATAATTGATCAGAGACAAAGAAAAGGTCAATTTGTTTCTGGTGGTCATTGATTATTCATTAATCATTAGGTAAAATTATCCAGTGGTCAGTTGAACTTATCTATTCATGGAATCCAGAAACTAATCAATTATAACCTAGAGAATGGTCAGTCTTTGTCTTCATCTCTCTCTCACTTGTTCAATGTGATTCTGATTCAAAGTAATTTATATGAATTAACCTGTAAAATAGTAAAGGTTTAAATTAATCAATTGAAATTCATTTCATGAGAGATCAAGACAATATTGTTCATCTGAAACTTTACCTTGATTTTCATGATAATTATTCAAGTTTCCAATATAATTTGGATATTCAGGTTAATGAGATAATTGTCATTCTGATAACTTTTTGTTTTCTTCATTTTTTTTCAGGTTCTTTGGCTTCGTGCTGATCCTGAAAGTACTCAATTGCTCACACTGGACACGTCCAATATTGCTAAAGATTATAGATTAAGAGTGACCAATGATAATAATAGACTTTGGTCACTTCATATTAAAAATGTTACCGAAAGTGATAGAGGGACTTACATGTGTGAAATTAATTCAGAGCCAATGATTAACCGGAAAGCATTTCTTGATATATTAGGTGAGTAAATTTCAAAAGTTCATTAAAATTTTACCATGAAACTGAATGATAAAAATGATGAAAAAATCACAAAGTAAGTAAATTAAATTCCCTTCAACGATAAGTAATTATCATTCATTGATTAGAATAAGATTTGAGTTTCAAGTAGCGAAAAAGTTGCAATTGGAATTTTCAATTTCTATCCTGTGTAAACACATGATGAGTTTTTTTTTCAGTGGAAAAAAATTTAGGAAAAAGTTCTGAACAATTTGAACAATCTTCATATGAACTCTCGATTATTATTATATTCACATGAAGATGGGAAAGTACATGGGAACATATGAGATAAACATGCGACTAGTAAAATATAATACTAATAATACACACACACACACAGTACAATCATGATGAATACACACTGAATACTCAGTAAAATTCATGATGAAATTGAAAAAAAGACAACATAATATAACATGAAATATTAACTGAAAAGTAAACTTGAAATGGGAAAAAAATAGTTGATATTTTATTATGTTGTTTGCTAGAGTTTTGTTCAGTGTTTAAAATGAAAAATAATTCAGAAACTTCAAGATTCAGTAAAAGGAGATAAAGAAAGAGAAAAGGACACAAAAAAGAAAGAGAGAGAGAGAGAGAGAGAGAGAGAGAGAGAGACTGTGATGAAAAAAGAAAAGTTCGAAATAGGGAAAAAAAGTTCTAACGGAGAAAATGATGAAAGTGAATTAACTGATTCCTAAGGCAATTTGATGCTCGGTTGAGCACTTTCTTCATGCCTGTTAACTTGTTTATATTTTCACTTGGTTTAATCTGAATCTTTATCTCCCCTGAAATTGTCAACATTAAATCATCTTTGCATATAACTAAATTAGATTGCTATTAATGTTATCATTTGTTAATCTATCACCCTGATGATTGTATCATCACCATCACTCTAGTTATCATATTCAACTCATCAAGTCACCAGGGAGTTTAATGTTTATAATATGATTTACATGATAAATTGTTGTTCTTATAAAATTTGACAAATCAAAGCAATCGTTTAAATTGAGAATCTAATTTCCAATTGGATAATAATTGTTGATTTGTTGCAACAATTAAACCTAATCTGTAGCATAGTATTGAAAGGATAATGATGCCAATGATAATCTGATTACATTTTGCTACCTGATTTTTTTTTTCATTTGTTAAATTAACTTGATCATTTTGATAGTTAATCAAATTGTTTGAAACTGTAAAAAACGTATAACATGATCACCATGTAATCCAATGAGATTAGTAGATGTTTACATTATTATGAATAAAAAAAGGTTCCAATTCAATTAGGCTTTTAATTAACTCGATTTCATTTTTTTTTCGCTATTCATTTATTACTTTTTCTGGTTCAGCTTGAGATGTCACCAAGATTTTCATCAGGATGAACTTGATGAAAGGTTCATTAATATTTGATAAAAATGTTGAGTAAATGAACAGTTCCAATATTTATCATGAACAGTTTCCTGTCATTCAGTCAATTAGATGAATGTGAAGCAAAAAGAAATCGCGATTTCCCTTAATATTTCAAATTTCTTTCAGAATTCATATCCTTCTGAGCCACATGAATACCACCATGAGCTTTAAACGTCCATAATCTTTAGTCTTTACAAGATTCTAAAGAATTTAAGAATAAAGAAAAGGTTGTGATGGAAAAAGTTCTTACTGAATATCAGGAGAGAGAGAGAGAGGAATGATCAAGATCGAATCAGCTGATTATATTGATGAGAGAAAGGAATGAGAAAAAAAAATAAAGATGATCAGAGAAGATAATGGGATGTATATAATGATGGAAAGTAAAAGGATCCATTGGGTGGATCAGAATAAAAGTTTCATGGAGAATAAAAGTTCTGAAAGTTGTTGAAATTTCGATACAAACAACAACAAAAAAAAGGAGAAAATCTTTTCTTCAAATCATCTTATTATCGCTCTCATCCCAACAGAACCTCTTATTAAGCCTGTAAATTGATGTTCTCAACTTATCCTCATCCTTATCCTAATCATTAAAATGATGATGATGATGATGATGATTAGGATGAAGTATAAAATAGTATTGAGATTGGTTAATGATCAACTTTTGCATAGATTGAGGGAAAAAATTGTCACCGTTGATGAGGATGAGGAAAAATCTAATCAAATGATAATGAATCAGTTATCTGTTTTTTTAAAGGGAAAGATAAACACTTATATTAAATAGGAATTGATTCAGTTGATTGTTTAATGATAAAACTTTTCCCTGATTATATTCATCCTTTTACATTAATCAGTGATGTTAATCGCTCTGATTATTAACATGATAATAACTGATTTAGTTGCATAGACATGGTTAACTCATTGAGGAAAAAAAATATAATATCTTGATGAAAATCTCATGAATATATTAGATTATTCATATTATACTAATGTTTTATTTTGAGCTGAAATTTTCACCATGAATTTTGAATCTCCCTGAACATTAGACACTTTTGATTAGTGAAAAAAAAGACACAATGTTTACCTTTATCATCATCATCATCTTCCTCTTTTATTTAATAGTGAGGGAGTTGCAAGTTGACAATATTATCATGATTCAGTTTCATGTATCTTTAACTTGTATCGTAAATGAGATTTGAGCTCATCATGTCTCATGAGATTCTCAGTTAATAAAGATGAATTTCTTTCATCTATCCTAATGGTAAATCAATTATCATGATATCAGATTTTTTTTTCTCGTTAATTTTGCAATAAGATTCACAGGATAATCTGTATTAATTGAATATATCATTACATTGATAACTTAATTCAGGAAGCTGAACATTCAACCTGATCAATTGATGATGATTCTGATGACTGAACAATTGATTTCATATCACTTATTAGCCTCTTTATCCTCATAGTTGAGGTAAATCTGTGATAATCATTTTCTTTTTCAGATTTCCTTTAACTCATGAGATCAAATGAGAAGATAAATGTTGATTTCGAAAATGAAAATCGAAAGTTCTAAGCTGAAATCTAAGTCACGCTATACTTCAATCAGCGATTTCCAATATCACGCTACATTCATTCATAATTTTCTGTTTTACAACTTTGTATTATTATCAATGTCACCCTGTCCTCCATTGAGAATACAAAATTGCAAATCTCAATTGGAATCTTTATCTTTGTTTACTTCCTCTACCAAACAGGGAAAGAGATTTGAATTCTCTGTCATCACTAAATTGTAACATTCTGTTAATCACTTTGTGAGAAATAGATTCTCAAAAGCGAATCAAATTAACATTAAATTCAACTGATTAATGAGTAAGAAAGACAATTAAACAGGTTCGCTAATGATACCAAACTGAAGGAGGAGAAGGAGAAAAAAAATATTAACGATTATCTGAAAAGTTCATTGATGAATTGATGAACAAATGGATCAATGAACTTTCTCTCAGTATTCAAGAAGAGATTGTGAACAATTTAAAAGCTTTCAAACGGTGGGGATTTTTTTTCCTCTTCCTCTACAATTCCACTTAGCCCAATATCTTCCCACTCTAATGAATGTACCGAGATATTGATGGGGCTCATCTTTTGATACTTATTTCATGTAACCTTGATGGCGAAAACTTGACATTGTGACAACAATAAGGAAACAGAATTGATTCTTGAACTTTAAGTGTCTCTGTCATGGTGAAAATGAGGGAGGAAATTATTAAAAAAACAAACTATGACAACAAGTAACCATAATGGTTACTCGTTCTGGTAGTAAAAAATTCATCCACCATGATGAAGAGTAAGAAAAAAAAGTCGAAACTGAAAATGTTATCGTTTTTCCGAATCATTAACCGTTGAACAATTTAATTGTCAACCTAAATTACTTGTTATTGATTAAAAGTTTTTTTCTTCTCCAAAGTTGTTGCCTTTGAAAAGTTCTGATAATAAACTTTGGATTCTGTTTTATCGGAGATCATGATGAAGAAAAAAAAATATCTACTAAAGGATTGATAGTCTATTGAACCGTTCATTTGTCAATCTTGAAGAATTTTTTTTCTCTTCTTTTCTTCTCAGAACTTTAAGAATCTGAATTATCGTTATCATGAAAAGGGAGAAAATTTTTCCAATTGGTTTGTATGATTGATGAAACAAATTGTTCACTTGAATGTTGAGATTTGTAACTTGTACCTTTGATTGTTTGTTATTTGCTCCATTTGAGTTAATCACAATTACTAAATTGTTTCTACTTTTCATTGGTTAGAAAAGTTCAATTCTGATTAACTTGACATGTTTCAAATTATCTTTGAGCTGTTAGAAAAAGATTGAATTAGTTACATGATAATTCAGAAGGAATTATTTTTAATCATTGTTATCATGCTACAGGGAAAACAATGATTAACATTGTAACTATTTTGTGATCTTTTATTATTATCTACACATTTTCATGTACACTGAGTTTCAATTGACGATAACTTTCAACTGAATTATCATGTTACCATGAAAAACATAACAAAAAAAAGTTTCCAATGTTAATCTTTTCTGTTTGGGATCAAGTTTTATGTCATAATCAGTTGAATTTATTATCCACGAGTTTCAGATTCATGAGTAAACATGAATGAAATTCATGATCACTGTCATCTGATTTAATTTACTTAACTGTTGATGATACTAATTGAGTTTATATATAAAACTTTAAAGTATCATGAGACTTGATGTATCACATGAATTTCCAATGAAAATATCCTCAGGCTATTCAAAACTCAGGCTCTTTTGTAATTTTTCTAGATACTCATCACCTTAAAACCTTTTAAAGTTATACAATTGTTGTAATTGTCAGACTGATTAAGTTGATTCTCTGGGTCAAGGTGAGAAATGTAAACATGATGATGTTTCCATCAATGAATTCAACTAAAGTTGAAATAAAGTTACTTTGTGAATAGATTTTGAAACTTTACTCAACTTTATCTCATCATTTTATCTACTCATTCATGAATTGATTTCATTTCATTTTCTAATCTCAATCTATTTTCATCTCTCTTTCAGTTCCTCCTTCAATTGTAGATAATGAGACAAGCTCAGACGTTGTTTTAGATGAACGAAGTAAATTATCGTTACGTTGTAGAGCCAATGGTTATCCCACTCCCACCGTGATCTGGAGACGAGAGGATGGTAAAAATTTGAGCACCGGATTCATCGGTGGTAAGTTTCCATATCCATTCTGAGTATTTCCACAAGTTGGAACTTTTCATTTTCTTATTCTTTCGAGATTGAGCTTCGAGTTGTTCCCCACTCAGTTCGAAGTGAATTTCATAAGATCATACAAATGAGAAAAACAAATGAACAGCATGATGATAATCTTGTAGATTTCATGGTTAATATTCATCATGATTAATTCTGGATAAACATCAATTGTTCATTTATTTCCTGATTACATTCATGCACCATGAAGAGAGAGAGACACACACAACAGAAATGAGGGGAAAAAAAGTTCTGGTAATTGGGAAGAAGAAAAATTGAAATGATTAAGATGAAGATGTGATAATAGTGATGAAGAGGAAAAAGATTCATGGTAGAAAGTGCTAATTAATTATAATTAGCTTATCATCTTAAGTAGTTTGTCAAAAGCAATTCTCATATTTTTACATGGAAAATAATATTCATTAGTCAGAACTTTCTCCTCATCCTTTTCATTGAATTTAACATGGAAAACGATGATGAACAAAAAAAACTAATCATTCTAATTGTTAATGATAATCATGATAATTATATCAGATAATAACAATAATAATAACATTCTTAACCTTATTAAAATTCATTTATCTTTTTCCCCATGTTGGTGTAATTTTCATTACCAAGACACTGAATTTAAGTAAATTGCTAATTGTAATAGTGATTAGTTTTTATATCGTTATCATGTAAGATTATTGTTAATTGTTGTTATTATTATAACAATTAAAACCCTTCAATTGATGTGAATGTAATATTACATATGTATATGATTTTTTTCCTCTTCCCTCTCAATGGAGATGAAAATATTTACCTCTTCCTTTTCCGGCTCCACCCAAACATGATCAACATTTTATCCTCATCCTTTTTAATGGAGAGAAAATTTTAATTTCCGGTTTTCTGTTTCAATGTTGTTCCGCTTTCAGAAATAATCTACATGATGATCTTGTCTTTTTTTCTTCTTCTTTTTCTTATTCCTCTTCCATCCGCTATTCTTTTCATGATAAATTTTCTTATATTCTATCTCTTTCTGACTCTCTCATTCTCTTAGCATCCAAAGTGGAAGGTGAATATTTGAATATAAGTCAAGTAACACGAGAAGACATGGGAGCTTATCTTTGTATCGCATCTAATGGAGTCTTACCATCAAGAAGTAAACGCATTTTCGTCCAAGTTAATTGTAAGTAGTTAATTAAATTACTTTATTTTGTTCTTATTACAATTCGTTTCTTGAGAGAACAGAAAAATAATTATTACTCTGCTTTGGAATGGATAGAAACACGAAAAAAACAAACATCTCTCACAATCAGTAATTTCCATGAAAGTTTCATGATGATTGGTTTCGATTTCAATACTCTTTCAATGAAAAAGTTTCTTCTGTGAAAATGATTATTCATTTACCATGAAGGCAAATGAATTCTTAGAGATGAAATGAGATGAGATGAGAAGAATTTTCTTTTTTTTCTTTCTCTTAAAGTTCAGTGTCTGAACTCTTTTCATGATCAGACTGACCCATGGATGGAATTTGTTTGTCTGAGATGATATTATGTTCATAAATTTCATCGATCAACTTGACTATCACAAAGTTATGAACAAAATGTCAGAATTAATAACATGATGGTGATGAGGAGAAAATGAACTAAAAGGCTTGATGAGAGTTCTGGGAATTGAAATTAGTGCTCATCAGTGATTTAGGGAATAGTAACTAAAACATTACATGGTAGAGGTTATTCAGTCATCGATTCAGCTCTCAGGGGATAAAGTTCAACTTGATCTATCTTGAGTGTATCCACATCATCATCTTAATCGCAGTTTAACTTGACCTTTTATTATATTATATCATCATTACCATCAGAATCACCTTTTCAATGAACTAATATAGTGAGAAAAATTTTGTTGAAAATCATTTTCACAATAAAATGACCAATAGACAAATAATACTTTCGATAAACTTACAGTCCATTCTGAGAATGAGTGTTAATGTTATTATCATGATGACCATTATGATGACTGTTATTGTTATTGTTATTATCGGATTTTATATAAACAATTTATCAATTGAATTGTTATCATCATCATCACTTTAACTTTGTCACAAATATTTACAAATCTTTACAATGTTAACATTATCATGAAGCAGCATGATGATAACATTGTAAAGTTAATTGAGTGATTAGGATGATTTAATTGTTGAAACTTTGAAGTTCATTGGTTGAGTTTTTTGAACTTTTTTCACCTTGACATTGACCCATCGATGGATTGGATTTAGATGATGGATTTGCCTTGGTTTGTTTTGTTTTTCTCTCTCATCTTCTCCATTTAATTTCTGCTTCTTTTAGGTAAATTTCTTTAAGGTTTATCTGGATTTCAACATTCGCAACTTTCCAATCCCATTAATCCATTGCAATCTAACTGAGAGATTGTTATTAAAACTTGTTCTCAAATAGGATCAGTGAAAAGGCTTAAATAGTGTTTATCATGAGTAGATGATGATGAAGATAAACAGAAGCCACATAAAAAAAAGTTCTCTCAAAATATTATCTTCTTCTTATCATAATCATCATCATATTCCTCTTGATAACAAGAACTGATGATAGAGAAAGAGAAAAGTTCTAGTAGGATCAACAATCTCAACTAGTGATTCTGATAAGAGGATTATCTTACCTCCCATGAGATAATATTGGAAATAGATGATGAAAGATGATGATAAATATTCATATTCTGATGGTGACATAATTTTTTCATCTGTTTGTTGATACTTTCACTTGTTTCCCTCTTTCTATCACCAAGTTCAATTCATATCCTCAAGCCTCAAGTATCAGAATTTTGATTGAGAAAAGAATGGAAAAACTTCCAATGAGGTTATTCATACTCTCTCTCTCTCTCTCTCTCTCTCTCTCTCTCTCTCATGATTAAATTCGTACGAAATAATCACCATACATAAATCATATTCCAGTGATAGTTATTAGCCAAAATTTTCCGATAAAATTTCATTATAATCTAATTTTGAGGCTCAATGTGTGATGATTTCTGCTAGGGATTGGAAAATTTTCACCAACCATGAGATTCTGGATAATATCAATTGTTGTCTGTTAGATGAAACTTTTTGATTAAGGTGATTGGTTTTAATAACAAGCAGATTCATGGTACTCATGAGAGTGAAAATTTCATTATCATCTCTAGAGTTACTGAAGATAAGAATGTTATTTCTTGAGTAAAATTAACTCCAGAACTTTTTATATCTCCTTTGGCTTGAAATTTTCTTCAGTGAAAATTTGAAAAATAAGGAGTTAAAATTTCCAAGAAAAGCTAATCTCATCAGAATTTTCTTATTCTTGTTCATTGTTATTACATCTTTTTCCCTGTTTATTGATAATCTAAAATTCATTGACCTTTAATTTCATGTGTTACAAACACCTAGAAAACTAATCTCAATCCTAAAGAATCTGAATTCATCTATTCAATCTCATTGAGCTGTACTATTATTATTATTATCATGAATTCACCACTACTATTATTGAATTGAAAATCAAACAATATTGAATTGTGGATGATAAACTCAATGAAAGAGTCTAAGATGAAAACCTATACAAATTCATGATGATTCTGAGTTTCTTATAGACAGAATTCACAATTTCCATGAATCAATTTCCAACCAACAGCAATTACATTTACTATTAGATTTGATGGAGAGGTAATTTTTTTTATTCTCAATTCTTCCAGATTGATGTAAGAACTCAATCTCTTTGCCCTGGGAGTTTTTCTCACCATCACCTTCAATTTTTATCTTTTATTTGTTTTCGAATATTTTTTTCACCCATGTTAACCTCCTCCCACATGGTAAACATATATATCATATTGAACTGGATAACAATAGTTTCTACCTTTCAATTGGTATGTATTCAAATGGTCAAGTGAGTGGACATGCAATGAAGATGAAACAATTTGCAACAAGAGGTTCAATGAATTTCAATCTCTTTATCTTTTCTTGTTTTCCCCTGAACTTTTTCACATTCTGAATATCAAGAATTGAAATTGATTTCAGAATTTCTATCTACAAGGAAAATTAATACAATCTGAGGAAAGTTGAACATTACGAATCAATGAGTTGTAACATTCAACTTGAGATGATAATTGTAAAGCCAATTTCAGAAAGATGAAGATGAAAAAATAAACTCTAAAGATAGCAAATAGTGAACATAATAATAATAACATGACGATGACCACAAGGATTGAAACAAAAGTTCAAGCAAGTGAAAGAAATTCATTCTCATGGTTGGGAAAATTTGAAATGTTCTGTTACACCTCATTCACAATGAGACACATTAAGAAAAATATTGTGACATAAGTTCCAGGGAACTTGAGAAATCATCAAGTTTTTTTTTTCTTCATCTTCTTTCTTGGAATATGAAAAATTATCTGCCAATATGAAGTTTACTCCATGAAAAGTTGATTTTTCTTATCATGTTTTTGATATTCGATGAATATTTTTTCTTCTAACAAATAGAACATTATTATCATGATTGTCTCTGAATTTCTCCTAAAATTTTCTCACTCATCTTTCTACAACATCTCTCTCTCTCTCTCTCTCTCTCTCTCTCTCGAACTGATCATATTTTTCTTGCCTCCTTGTTGAAACTAATTCTGAAAATATTATTGAATTGTAAGATAAAGTGAATAGTGAAAAGCATAAGTTCTGGCGTGATATGAATTTTAATCAATTCCTCAGAAAGCAGAAACATGATGACGATGATGATATACTCGTGATGATGAAAATGATGCTATCTTTTCATAATATATAGAGAACTCAAGAGCAAGTATATAAATTTTTCACCAAATTGATGAGGATAAAAGTTGAATTTAACAATTCTGATGAAGGTAAAAAACTTGATTCCATATTGGAATATAAATATTATGCAACTTTTTGAGTATTTTCTGTTCCCATGATCAACATTTTCTCCTTCTAATTGAATTACCCTGATTTCTGTTAACTTTTCTGTACATATCATGTAATAGTAATTGTTGAAGAACAAATTTATTATTGACTAATAGTAATAATCTGTAGCCTTACCTGTAACTAATCCGAATAAGCTTAATCTTAGGATTAAGACTTGATAGCTTCTGGAATGAAATTGAAGCCACAAAAAGTAACTCCAATTGATAAACTTAAGTATTAGTAAAGGGAAAAGTTTCTAATGATCGACATGATAAAGATGAAGAGAAAAGTAAATAGAGGGAGCGGATATTTCTCTCTTCCTTCTCATCTTCCACCTCCATCATCTCACTCCTCGAGGATACATACTAGTATATAACTTTATTACCTGGAGTATATCTGATTTAGAGCACGTATCAGACTCGATGGCGAAAATATAATATTTTTAACTCCCAACAAAATAAGAACCAAATACAAGGTTTCAAATTCTCTCTCATCTTCATCCGCATCATCTTTTCATCCCTTTCTTTTCCATCCTCATCCATCAATATTTTCTCTTTTTTATTTCGATATATTAAAACCACCATGAAAATAAGTTCTTCTTGGAAAATAAATTCGTATCTTCTCAACTCCACCTTCTAGTTTAAGGTAAACTTTAAGATGATAGGAAGACAAGAGAGAGAGAGAGAGAAATTATCTTTATCATTTGTTCTTAACTCTCGCCCTGTTTCCTCATATTTAACTCGAAAGACAAGACCATGAAACTGCCAGAATTTCAATTGATTACGAGTCTAAGATAATATCAATTCCGAGTTGATTTGATTAACTTTCATAGATATTTAAGTTGTGACAGAATTGAATTTTTTCCTCACTCTGGTTTTCCTACAAGAAAAGGAAGTTGCTCAAAAAAGGATAGGAAGTTGGACTCAAAGTTTTAAGATTCTGAGCTGAGTGACGGATGCTGAGTAAATGAACGAAGAGGAAAAGACAAGTTGTGGCCCAGAGTTCATGATGAGTCTTCTGATGGAATCAAGTTCAAAATTAGTCGATAAACTGTATTGATAATGATAATTGAAGAAAAAAAAATATTTGCACTAATGGAATAGAAAGAGAAAAGAAAAAAAAATGAACACCATGAAAGAAGAGAAAAAATAAAATGGTTCTCATGTTGATTGAGTTTTCCATAACCTCGACTTTGATCTTTCCATTGATTCCCTTGTGAATTTGTAATCATTTATAGTTGAACA